CTGCCAGAGGCGTCAGGCCTGGGCAAGGGGCCGATCCTGCGATTGGAGGGTGATGGGGGTCAACGCCTGAGGGCTCCCAGTATGTGAGAGGGGGCAGGCTGGGCTGAGTGACCCCCCCCCCAGTGCACGAATTTCGTGCACTGGGCCCCTAGTATAATATAATATAGTGAGGTTTTGTGTACCCTTAACCCAGTTCCCCATAGTGGTAGTACTATACTAATACGATATCACGACCAGGAAATTGACACTGGTACAGTTTACAATTTATTCAGATTTCACTAGTTTCACATGTATTCATTTGTGTATGTGCATTTGTATAGTACTGTGTAATTTTAAAACCTTCTTTACAGAAATAGGCAGTAAGCTGAATTTGGCCTGAGAACTGTATGCCATTCACTGACACCTGGAAGAAATCCTCATGTAGAACTCAAAGTTACAGTATTTTGGAATATTGTGTGGAAACCAATACACAAAAGCATATTTATGGACTACCCAGCTAAAATGAGAACCTACTGTAGCTTAAAAAACAAGCCCAGCCCTTCTCCCTCATGGGACTGTGAGCAGAGAGAAGGCAGGGAAAAATACCCAGAACAGAATAATAAAGGTTATTTCTATCTTCTCCCACTTTCAACCTCTCACCTCACACCAGTTAGGAAAGGACGTGGCCAACCAGAGCGTGCTGAATTGAGCGAAGTTCACTATCAGACTATCACTCTTCGCTTCCTAGGTACCTTAAGCTTTTCACAGCTTGAACTAAAAAGTTGATGACTAGAATTCACTCACCCAAGAAGCAAAGCAATTTTAGCTTTGGCAATCTGAGCTAACGTTTCATAATTTTAATCCTCACACTTCAATTAACAGATGGACGCATCACGTTCATCCATAAACAAAAAGGAAAAAAGTAATTTCTTTAATGTACACCTGGGAAAGACAATTGTGATCTGGATTTGTACATTCAAACATAATGCAATTTAATTAGTAGAGCAATTTAAAACTACTAAGAACATGATGGGTAGTTGAGAAGTTGTTTCATTCCTAGTGTTGTTTTTTTTATATAATCACAATGCTTCATATTCTTTCAAGACTGAAATTGTGGCATTTGGCAAGATTTTGTTAATTATAAAGGCGGTTCACCAATCTCAGCTACCTTGGTAGAGCCTGGTGGGTTTTTAAGTTTTATAAAAACAGGTATGATGACTTCAGAGGTAAATATATATCTTTTTTACATTGCCTAGAAAAATGAAAAATAATAAATTTTCTTTAAAAACATAAAAACAATACAAAACCAAAATGAACTGCTCTGGTATCTCAATTAAAAAAGTGCTCAGTACTGTTCTTAGAATAAGGTCCAGGGTTCCATCCATATTAAGATCTTCTGGTCAAGAGAGTATATGAACAAAGATTACTGAGAATAAAATCTAGGGTTCTATCCATGTTAACATCGTTTAACTTTATGATATATAAATAAAGACTACTGGAAATGGAATGGACTATCTGAATAAATATAAAACCCTCAATAAAAAAAACAACGTAATTAAGATGTTAAAACAAAACTTTGCTCCAAAAATGATACTACATAAACTTCCTGCTTGTCTCCTTTCACCCCCCACCCCCTCAACTCTTGAAGTGATGGTGAAAACCAATGCACAAAGCATTTTTATGGACTATTCTTCTTGAAAGGTAGGAAAAAGAAAAAGGTCAAAGCCAAGTCCACATCAGTCTTTGAAACAGTTCTATGTTTCTACTTTTTATTCTTGGTAAATTTATTTCAGTGGAACTAAATTATCTTATAATAGGCACGAGCCCAACAAATAAACAGAATATAGATGTACAAGTTCTAAAGAGAACTGCCTGCTAAACCATTACATTCAGAGATCCATAAGTAAGAGTTGGTCACATCAATTATTTAATTTTGATCTGGTGACAAAGCATGTTTGTATTCCTGGAAAGAAACAACAACCAATCTTACTGACTGGCAATTTGGTATATTTGAGGGTTAATTAAATAAGCAACGTGGCAAAGTATCCAATATGCTATAAGGTGCAATTTTTCTGTTGGATTAAACTTCAAAACTCAGCTATTCCACATTCGAGCCAACCAGTTAAGTCAACAAAATCAGCTAAGTTGGTAGCTCCTGTATAAATCCTAATGTCTTTTAGAAAGGTTTAAAAATCAAATCATGACTGAATTAACTTTGTAACTTATGATATGTTAGGCTAAAGCTGTGGAATTAATTCAAGAATTATACATTACCAAGTACATAAAGATAAAGATGTTGGTTTTAAATGTTATTTTTGCATAAGTTTACTTACTGCCATATAAGCATTTGTTCCAACATACGTCTTGGCTATAGAATTCACCAGCTATGAGACAAAACAGTCTGTTAGAACAATATAAAGATAATGTGGAAATAAAATGGGCAATTATTCCTCATTTAACCTACAATCATCATTTCTATAAATCAACTAAAAATTACGTAAAAGGGAACAAATCTACAAAGGCATTAAAAATGGTTAAATCTCTCTTTTCTTTTGAATGTGATTTCCATTTAAACAAGCACAGCATTACAGTTTATGGCAGATAACCTTAAACAATTCACTTAAGCAGGATGCTTATCGCTTTAGTACCCCAAAACCATCTGATATAAAAAGTCAATTTGAAGTAGAATTTGAACACACTCAAATGGCTCAAGATGTGAATGAAGAAACCCCATGCATTACTAGAATGAAACGAACACTAAATATGCTGGAGGGATAACAGACTTTGACAACTCATAATACAACGATGACCTTCGCTTTGGTCTTCGTGTTTGGCTGGGAGTAAAGGTGGCTGCAATTCAAATCAACATCACAGCACGCTCATGGGTCACTATCACTGGGGTTCTCAGGGGAGGCCCAAAATGGAAATTAATTAAAATTTGTGCTGCACATTGTAATGGCCCTCCACCATTGTTGCTCCCAATATTAATTTTTATTGTGGGCCAGTTGGGCTCCCCAGGCACAGCTCCCACTCTGCCCTCCCTTTTGTCTGGCCAAAACGCTTCATATCAACACTGCATATCAATGAAGTTTGCTATTCGTAAGTAGTAATTACAATATCAGCAGTTTTTACTGTCTTTAAACAATGAACAATCATATTCTGATGAAGGAAACTCGCCCGGAGATTAAAAATGAATACCACACTCCCAGCCGAGGAGAAGATGCAGAGCTCTGTTTGTCTGGCGGCTGGGTGACTTTTCAATCCAGAGAGGAGATTGGAAATAAAAAGGGGATGCTGCAGAGAGGAGAGCAGATGGGGAGGGAAAAGAGACCTACCTGAGTGCTAACTCCAAAGTCACAGAGCTTGACCTGTCCTCTGGTGTTTACTAGCATATTGGAGGGCTTCACATCTAAAAAGGGAGGAGAAAAGTCCATGTAACTAATTCCATATCTACAGTGCTTGCTCTAAAAAGAAGCGTACACGCACACCCTACTATATTGCAGAAACGACATCATCTGTTCAACTTGGACTTCCAATCACAGATTTAATGCAAAGCATTTTATCTGGAGGCAACTAAATGTAAGGTCCTAACACCTCCACTTCCAGCTATTTCTGGTTTCTATAGAAGCAAGGGTTCATTTCAAGTGAAAGTCAAAAAATATTGGCTTTCAACAACAGTAAAATACACCCGTCATCCTATCCCCTGCCTTTTAGGAAAAGTAGGTAGAAAAGAAAATGTAATCTTGCAAAGAATTTGCACAAAAGGGCTTGTTTTGCTCTCACTATGAAACTATTACTCCCATTTAAAAAAATAGTAAGGCAAAAGGGAAGCCAACAGGAAAAAAAGTGTTCGTATGTTGCTGGTAACAGGTCATAGCTGAACAAAACAATGAAAAAGAAAATGCCACATTGCTTTTTCCTGGTTTGATATGATAAATACTACTTCAGCTGATACTCAGAAATTGATCTAAAAGATGTGACCATGTGCCTGCATGCACTTATCAGCCTTTGTTTCAGTTGGCCTTCTCGTCCCTTACATCATTTTTGACTGCTGTTATAGTTAACAAAAGAACTGACATAGCTTTTGCCAAGGCAGTCAGTTGCTAAATAATGACATAAAGGGTTTCTGTGAAACATTGTCAGTGACAACAATGAGCCTTTTCAGGAATTCAGAGAGCCCACAAAAATCACCCAAGCAGGACAAGAACACACTGCTTTTGACAGTACAGAACAGCACCTGTTTCAACATTCATCTTCGATGGCAAAAGTGGTCGGGAATAGGCAACTTATTGTATTTAATATAGCATATAATCTTAATCACCCCAAAACTGAACACAGGACTCATCATTTTTAATGTAACAATTTTTAAAAAATCTGTAAATGAGTTCATCTCCTCCCCTTTATCCTGCAAAAGGGTACCCCAACAAAGTGTCCTGCCAAGAGTAGATATTTAATTCAAACTTCAAGGTCAAACTCTGTAATTAACAATTATTGAGCCCTACCTACTATGTGACAGGCAACATGCTAGGTACTTTCTCATGCATTAGCTATTTAGTGTTGCCTGACTGATGCAACAATGTAAACTCCATGAAGGCAGGGACTTTATCTCTGTTACTGACCACTATATTCCCAGTCCCTAGAAGGGTGCCAGGCATACAGTAAATGCTTAATAAGTATTTGTTGAATGGAGGAGAAAATAAAGAAATGGAAGCCATGAACACATAGTATGACTTCATGTTGATGATTCTGTTTCAGTGATCAGAGGGCAGCTATAGAACATGTTTCTGGAGCACGCCCTTCAAATAACACACACTGGATACTTCCTTTGGAGGGAGGGTGAGTCTGAAGACAGTTTTATCAACTCTCTCTGCCTTCAGTTTCCCCGATTTCAATATAAACCTTACACCACCAACAGCCTATGTAATAAAAGGCTAATATGCAAATTGTCCCCTCAGGAGTTTGACCGACCAGGAGTTCGACTGTTTTCTGTGACGTGCGATGACCATCAGGGGACAGCATGGAACAAAGGAAGGCCTTGGCTGGCAGCTGGGGAAGGAAGGCCCCAATCGGCCCTGATAGCCGGCCAGGCCTAGGGACTCTACCTGTGCATGAATTTTGTGCACCGGGCCTCTAGTCCTATATAATCAGAGGAATATGCTAATTATCTGTTACACCGTGAGGTGTAATGACCGACCGCATAATGACCAGATCATGGATCAGCAGGAGGGTGGGGCAGCGAGCTACAAGCAGACAGTGGAGAGCTACAGGAGGGCAGGGCAGCGAGCAGAGAGCTACAGGAGGGTGGCAGCGAGCTACTGGCGCACAGATTCGTGTGCAGAGCTACTAGTATTATATTAAATAAAGCACTTTCACTACCTCAATTCTCTTCTTGAGGAGAAAATGAAATATTCTCTGACTCCACCCCACCAAAATGTGAACTCAAGAATAGGGTTGTGCTTTCAAATATACTCCAGTATTTAGCACAGCACATCTAAGTCATAGATAGCCACAGTAGACATGCAACATTTGCTGAACTGAAAGAAATGTTAGACTCTACATAGCCTGGTCTTTTTTTCCAAATCTAATTTTCATTATACTAGTAGACCCTCAACTCTGAATATTTTTCTTTTTGACAATCTGCTCTTTTATATATCAACACCCTTAAACCACTTCTTAAGCCACCACATCAGATGGAGACAGTTAATGAACAGATATTTTAAGCTCCTGGAAGGAGCTGCCTGGAAATCATGAAGTATGGTATGGTAAAATTAACATTTTTAGCTTTAATCGGACGCATATTTGACTTAAGTGGATTAACACAGAGAGAAAGAATAAAACCACAAAGTTGCTAGATTATATTGTAAAAGGCAAAATGTAAATAAGAACTTTACTGGATTTTTCAGCTCTCCAATGTTTTAACTTACATGTATAACTTGTGTACATTCAGCCTAGTTATCAGGAGTACTTTATGTATAAAAGTAGTAGTCACCCTTTTATTCTCAAACCAACCTTTGTATTCTGACTAAACTGTTAATCATTGTCTCAAAAAAACACACCCTAAAACAAACAAAACCCCTTATCACTAAGCCTTTGTTAATTCTATGTGTTCTCCCTCA